AAGAAAGAAATACAGACAGAAACAGACAGACAAAAAGAAACAGACAAAGACAGAGATGGAGATACTGGAAGAACTGGACTGTGAGAATAACGCATCGCGGCGAAAGAGGAAAAATGGAAGGATAAACAGAATCAGAGAGAGGCAAATAAAAAGTCTCGCACGCACGAAATGAACGACATAATAATAAGATCCAGCCACGGGGCGTCGCGTCGCACATGTCCCCAAGAAAGAAAGAAAACGCCTTTAGATTAGCAAGAAAATTAGAAGCAGGCGCGGAGACCCTTGGCGGAGCTGGCAGGTCGCGGCGTGGAAGTGGCTCATGTAGAGGGAGACTCAAGAAAAGAAGAGGGAAGTGCCGGTACTTGAAGACCAAAGGAGAAGCAGAAGGGGAGAAGAAGGGGGGGAGGAGAGAAGGAGGAGGAGGAGAGAAGAGGGGGAAGAAGAGAAGGAGGGGAGGAGAGAGGAGGGGGAGGAGAGAAGGAGGGGAGGAGGAGAGAGGAGGGGGGAGGAGAGAAGAGCAGAGAAGGAGGAGGAGGAGGAGGAGAAAGGAGGAGGAGGAGGAGGAGGAGGAGGGGGAGCGTTAGAGACGGATTTATGGTCGTTGGCTTGAAGTCCGTAATCCGCGGCCTCCCCGCGCCCCGCCCACCGCATGGGAAGGCGCTCGTGTTGGGTGACGGGCGGCGTGACACAGGCAGGGACAAGCGGGGAATTTCTATAGAGGACGGCGCGGGGGCGGGGAAAAAAGGAGGCATGTTTCGTGGGTGGTGTCAAGCCCTGACCTTTGGCTCGTGTGTCATCCCGTGTCACGTGATATGTGCGCTTCATCTGTCGGCCTCCTGATACCACAATTTGGCCCTTGGATATTCATGAACTTTTCCACATTAATGAACAGGATGTGTACCTTCGACGATTTTTTTTTTCCAAAGAAAACCTGCCCTTTGAAAGGCGAAAGGGGTAATTTAACAGTTGACTTTTAATTATCACGTAGCTTTATCTTTGAGTAATGGAGTTCCTCTTCTCCCCGACCTCTCTAACTTAAAGGTTAGGAAAGAGAGGCACTCTGTATGAATAAATATTTGATACTGGCGGCGGTCGTGGGTGTGGGTATATATTGATATAAACGAGAAAGAAAACTTAACTGGGCTGGCTCCATGTCCTGTAAGGAGAAAGCGATATCTGTGTCATGGATAATAATAAAAAAAGAAACTAAAATAAACAAACAAAACTTGTTATGAAAAGATGTATGACAGGGACCCCGCATATAAAAATTCCTAACCGCCCCATAACCATCATCCAAGACTAGGGAGCGCATGTATAAAGAAAAAAAAGTGAAAGAGAAGAGTGCCAATTGTCCAGATTGTATAGAGTCGGCTCTACAGAAGAGAGAAGGCTCACAAAGTGCCAACAATCAGTGGTTAGAGTGTCGGCACACTTCAAGGCCAGCCGGTGAGCAATGGTAAAAAACAAAGTAAGTGGAAGAGAGACGAATGAAGCGCGGGATAAAGACGCGGACGGAGAGCTCGATGCTGTTACAGACGCAAGGAAGAGGTAGAAGAAGAACAACAACAAATCGGAGAAGAGGAGGAAAAGGAAGAAACACACACAGAAAGAAGATGCGATGGTATCTGGGGATAATCCAGAGTGAATGTATTATAGACGCAAAGAAGAGGTAGAAGAAGAAGAAAAGGAAGAAGAAGAAGAAGTCGAAGAAGAGGAGGAAGAGGAAGAAACACACACAAGGAAAGAAGATGCGATGGTATCTGGGGATGATCCAGACTGAATGTAGGTTTGATAACGAAATGAGCGCATTATGAAGGTCAGACAGCTGTGAACGTTGAATGCAGAAGCCAAACAAAGAGGAAGAAATAGATGAGAATGATTAAGAGGGAGGAAATGTGGATAAGAAACTAGTAACAATGAAAAAAAAGGATGGATGAGAATGTGGGAGAGGGAAAAATGGATAATAGACGAGGATCTGTGAAAGAAGACCTCGAGATCTCATGGATAGGAAAGAAAGAAAGGAAGAGGGGGGAGGGGAAGACAACAGCGGAGCAACATAGAAAGAAGAAACTCAAAGTGGTTAGAAGAGAGAGAGAGAGAGAGAGAGAGAGAGAGAGAGAGAGAGAGAGAGAGAGAGAGAGAGAGAGAGAGAGAGAGAGAGAGAGAGAGAGAGAGAGAGAGAGAGAGAGAGAGAGAGAGAGAGAGAATGAAGAGAAGACAGAAACCGCATCCACTCATTGAGAAAGACAACCTGTCAACAACGAAAAGAAAGAACAGGCCATAGAGGGAGATAGAGAAAACGGGTGGAGGGCGATTGTGAATTACGTCTCAAGGTGAAATAAGGTCGGTTGGCAAGGGGGGGGGGGGGAATAAGGAAAGGAAAGGGAGAGAAAGGAAAAGAAGGGAAAAGCAGAGGAAAAGTATGAAGTGGGGAAAGAGAGAGGGAAAGAAGGGGAAGGGGAGGAGGAAGAAGAATAAGGATGAGAAGGAGAAAGGGGAAGCGAGGGCCGAAAAGAAAAAAAGTGGGGAAGGAGAGAAAGAAAGGAGGAGGGGGAGGGAAAAGCAAAAGGGGGTGAGAAGAGTAGAAAGGGAAGAATATCTAGTAGAAGAGGGAATGGAGGGAGTGGAGGATATCGGAAAAAAATAAAAAGGGGAAAGAGGATGAAGTAAATGGAAGAGGAAAGAAAGGCATTTAAGAGTGAAGAGGAGAGGAATATGGGGAGAAGAGAAGGGAGTGGATATTAGGAGAAGAGAATATCGGGAGAGGTGAAAGGAGGGGAATAGGGAGAGAACGGGAAAGGGAAGGAGGAGAAAGAGACAGGATAGTGAGGGATAGAAGCGAGAGAATGGAAACGGGAGGGAGAGGGGACGGGAATGAAAATGGAAGGGAAGGGTAGGAAAGGAGGATAGAAAGCCGATAAAAAAAAGCTCAGCGAATTAGAGAAAAGGGTGCGAGGAGGGAAATAGGGGCGCGGTTGATACACTGTGATTAGACTATGATATATGAGCCGCCAACTCCTATATTCACACAAAACACCGTTAAAGTGGTTGAGAACTTTATTAACGCCCCCCCCCACACACACACACGTCGGATTTCGTTTTCTCTCCTGCTCAATATATATATATAATATATATAATATTATATATATATATATATATATATATATATACATATACTTATACATATACATATGTATGTGTGTCTTCTTCTTTCTCTTCCTTTCCCACTTATTCTTCTTCCTCTTCCAATATCTCTTTCTTTTTTCGTCTTCCTCTTCTTCTTCTTCCTCTACAGCATCACCACCTTCTTTCTCTTCCTCTTCCACTTCTTTTTCTCCTCCTTCTGCTTGCCAGACCCTCCCAGTGCTGAATATCAAATCAAGTGATTGAACAAGGAATATTCTGTGCGATATGCAAATGGTATTATTGTTTTCATGGGAACCTCTCGATGCGTCGGGGTGGGACCTTTTTTTCTTTTTTTTCTTTTTTTTGAATTGCTTTAACGATGTGGATATGATGAAACAAATATCGGTGGTAGTTAAGTAGTTTATGATGTATATTTAGATGTATATTATGTGTATATACACATGCACACATACATACACGTACACGTATACATACAAGTACACATATACACATACACGTACACATGCACATGCACATGCACATACACACACACACACACACACACACACACACACACACACACACACACACACACACACACACAACACACACACACACACACACACACACACACACACACACACACACACACAGTAGAATAACATATGTTAGTTATGTGTGGGAGGGTGTATGCATATATACATATCTGGTTAAAGTGCAATTTATTATTTGCGTTGGGTACAGTTTATAACCTAAGTTTTAATTACTTTGGTCAGTAAGTCTTTGTTTACTGAAGTACAAAGAAATTGTTGTTTTAGTATTTTAAAAACTATGACACGTTTATCGTACTTGAAAACTGTGTTGGGCATTCATTTTCTTGTCTCGTTATTTCTCTCTCTCTCTCTCTCTCTCTCTCTCTCTCTCTCTCTCTCTCTCTCTCTCTCTCTCTCTCTCTCTCTCTCTCTCTTCTCTCTCTCCTCTCTCTCTCTCTCTCTTTCTCTCTCTTCTCTCTCTTCTCTCTCTCTCTCTCTCTCTCTCTCTCTCTCTCTCTCTCTCTCTCTCTCTCTCTCAGTAGTATTTCTACATATATTTTCTTTGCATATGCCCCCCCCCCCTCCTCTCTCTCTCTCTCTCTCTCTCTCTCTCTCTCTCTCTCTCTCTCTCTCTCTCTCTCTCTCTCTCTCTCTCTCTCTCTCTCTCTCTCTCTCTCTCTCAGTATTTCTACATATATTTTCTTGCATATGCCCCCCTCTCCCCCCCTCTCTCTCTCTCTCTCTCTCTCTCTCTTCTCTCTCTCTCTCTCTCTCTCTCTCTCTCTCTCTCTCTCTCTCTCTCTCTCTCTCTCTCTCTCTCTCTCTCAGTATCTCTTCATAGCTTTTTCTAGCTTATGCTTTCCCTCTTTCACTTTATGTTTGTTTATGTTTCTGTCTCACCGTCTCTTTATATTAGTCTTTCTGTCTGTCTATATACATTTCTATCCATCTTTCTCTTTGTCTCCTTTTCCTCTTTGTCTCATGAGAGAGAATAAGCGAAAGGCCACGAAAGAAAAGAAAAAAATAAAAGTTGGGTATTACATGATGATGATGATGATGATTGATGATGATGATGATGATGATGATGATGATGATGATGATGATGATGATGATGATGATGATGATGATGATGATGATGTTGTTGTTGTTGTTGATATGATGATGATGATAATTATGATGAAAAGGAGTTTGAGGATCATAATAGTGATGACGATGATGTTGATATTGATACTAATGATGATAAGGATTATGATAATGACAATAACCACGATACAGATGATGATGATATAAACTTGTAACCGCAGCAAAACTAACCCTCCCCTCTCCTCTCTCCTCCAACAGTACCTTGCCGTTCTGACGAATTCACGTGCAAAGACGGGAGTTGCGTCGCTAGCTTCCGCCGTTGCGATTACATTCAGGACTGTCCCGACGGCGAGGACGAATCCTTCTGCCGTAAGTACTGTCGCGCGAGTCCGAAGCCTGTGCCATTCCTGTGTTCCTCTCAAAGGTTTCGATATGCAGTGGGGGAAACGGTGAGAAAAAATGTAGATTACTAAAAAAAAAAGAAAAAAAATGTTAGATTACTAAAAAAGAAAAAAATGTAGATTATTAAAAAAAGAAGAAGAAAAAATGTAGATTACTAAAAAAAAAAAAAAAAAAAAAAAGAAACGTAGATTACTAAAAGTTTGTGTCGAAATATGAATGACAAGAGTTGAAGATGAGGAAAGAATGGAAGTCAAGGATATTATCGTAGGATAGATGAACTGGTAAAGAGGTTTGGTGTCCGGTTGAAAAATAAATAAATAAATAGAAATAAGCTAAGCTAATCTAGCCATACCTTGTTTGGCACCATTTTAGCCTCTAGGAAGGGGAGATAAACTTGTGTTGGGTGTAGGTCACGTAGAGGTTTAGTGAAGATGTGGGTGTGTTTCAGCGGCGCGTAGGCTCGCACAGCAGCTAAATAATGGCTGGAGTTGTTTAGGTTTTAGGGATAGAATAGGTATTTTAACCCCGTTGCTGTCAACCGCTGAATCCATCCCCCAAAAAAAAGAAAAAGGAAAAAAAATGGTTAGAAAAGAGGGAAAATGACACTGGTATCCATTGTAAGTGTAAATGGAGAATATTTATTGTACCAGAAGTTTTCTTGTTTATTATTTGTGGATTCATTAGCTTCGATGCAGAAACCCGAATCATGTACGAATTATTACACCAATCCCTCCTTGTACGAAATTCCTTGAGATTTCACATTGATTTTCGTCATATCAAAGAGAGAGCGCTGCCAGTTTATTCATTAGGGTAAATATTTGTCAGATTCAGAATTTTTGTCATGTCAGATGTTTATTTTGGGGTTTGTTGGCAGAATGCGGAAGGGGTGTCGCTCCTTCTCTTAAAATAAATTGAATAGAGAAGAATGGTGGCATGGCTGGGGTTGTCTGCCACTTTTAATATAGGAATCTTGATGCCTGTGCTACGACGTCTAGATAAAAAGGGATTTAGGATTTTAGGCTTATGAGTGGATAAATAATATTTAAGGAATTATTTATGAACGGATACTTAAGGAATTACTTATGAATGGATAAATAACATTCTAGGAATTATGTCTCGTTTTCTCTGAGAGTTTGAGGAATTCTAAGGTTTTATTATTATTGTTATTTTTCATCTTGGGCGTGAGAGAAGCGCAGACAGGATGGTTGGCCCATATAGATGAATGAATGAATTAGGCGATGGATGCTAACCCGCCCGCGTACCACTGTATATTTGGCCTTGAGAGGACCGGGTATTATGGTTTTCCCGCTCGAGACGTAGAGGTAGACAGATAAAATTTCTCTGTAAGTTCTCAAAGCGTCCCTTCGAATCAGTTGCAATATGCAGTGGCAGGTAAAGTTTCACCCTTTCTTCAACTGTATTTTGAATTACTGATATGCAGTTTGGTATATGTATATTTTGCATATTTTGTAGCCTTTTTTTGTGTGTGTCTTGGTATAAAATAGATGTGTCTAAATATTTTGTGTAGCTTTTTTTGTATAGTTAGTCTAATATTATTTCATGGTTAAAGCTAAGCTAATTGCATAGTACCTCAAATTCTATTGGTCGAGCACGGAACACAAACTCGCGAGCAAAAAAATAAATAAATAAAGACAAAAAAATAAATAATAAAATGAAATAAAAAATAAAATAAAGAAAGCGAGAAACAAAAAAGAAAAAAAGGATACCTCAGTCTCACACATTTCCCAGTCTGTACAAAGGTTGACCTAAATCCTGTGGTATTTAGAGCACTTTAGAGTGTACCCAGAGGATCTTGAGTTCGGGATAGTGAGGTTTCCAGTATTATAACAACTTGGATGGTATTCAGGTATCTATGGTACTCATGTTGCTTAAACTATTTGAAGCCCGAGGCGTATGAGCGTTTTTTAGACATGATAAAGGAGCATGAATATCTTTCATAGTCATCCATAGCAAAATCTACTCAATATAAAAGAGAAAGAGATTGTTCGTTATAGTTTAGCTCCATGCTTCCTAAAGAGCTGTATGCTCTGAAAATAAATCTTTGTATGCCCATACCATTCCGAACTGACGAGGAAGGCAGGTATTATGGCATCGAAAGATTTATTTTGCTTGATAAGACATGTTTCGTCTCTGAGATGTGAAATGAGATAAGGAGGACGAGTAGATGCATGTTAAATTCAGCTGCCTGTGTTCAGACCTTTATGTTCCACTTAGTGTGGATTATATATGCTATTATATATAAATACATACATATATATAATATATAATATATATATTATATATATATATATATATATATATATATATATGTTCTAGTTGTTTATGATTCTATGTCATTGAAGCCGTAGTCTATCATTTGTTTTATTAACAATGCTGCACGCTGAACGTTTAGTTTATCTATGTTTAGCTTAAAAGGGTAGTACAACGCGGTTGCAGTTCTTTTTGTTAATTCTTTAAACTCTTGCTTCTAAGTATAGCTTACCTTTGCTTCCAACAAGGAGGGTGTCATGATGAGAATGATACTGATGATCATTAGTTCACTGCCTTGGGAAGAAAAAAAAAAAGTAAAATAAAAGGCATTAGCTCTTACCACCCCTTAAAAGAGAAGACAAAGGAGTATATATATATATATATATATATATATATATATATATATATATATATATATATATATATATATATATATATATATATATATATATATATATATATATATATATATATATATATATATATATATATATATATATATATATATATATATATATAATATACATATATATATATACTATATATATATATATATATATATATACATATACATATATATTAAGCGAGAGTTTAAAGCGCGCGTGAGCCAAAGAGTTCGCTTGACCCCGCCGCCACCTCACCCAGCATGCGAGCCCCCTAACTTCGAGTGCATCAGTGGCATGTGCATCACGCCGGAGAAGCGCTGCGACGGAGTCAAGCACTGTGACGATGGCTCGGACGAGGAAGTCAACTGTCGTGAGTATATTTCGAGGCCAGATCTGAGTCCACTCTGGCATTACGTTATTTTGAGTATGATTTTGATGCAGTTTCTGTTGGTTGAAAAGAAGACGCGTCCTTCGGCCTTTGTTTTCATTTTATTTCCCCGATCTTAAGAAGGTATAGGTCGATTGATAAGTATGTTCAGTGTAATTATGTGATGATTCTTGTTATATTGATATATTTTAATTTCATATAGCCTTTTCTCATATTTTAGATGTCATGTCGCAATTATATATATCTTTAAATGCATACTTATAACCATTCCATTATCATCATTAAGTTTTGCAGCTTTTTGTGTTGACTTGGTCTGCTTACTTGCTTTATTTAGTCTTAGTATTCCTTCTATGCGCTGCTCATTTCATTATCTTGCAACTTTAAGTTCTTTTTCTTTCCCAGTAAACCATTTCTTACGATTTACGTAAATGACATCTTCATATCTGATTTCCTTTGCATGTATTTACTGATTATTCATGATAAAAATAATCACCTTAATGCCCCACTGACTGAATATTTACAAGTTCAGGCCATTTTTTTTATATAAATGAATAATCCTTACGTAAAAAAAATATCTACCGATTAATTCCTCTGTCTTGGCTACTTGCAAAATGCTAAAAGTATAAACGTGTACACATATTTGTAGGGAAGGGGCATTGTAGAAGTAGAAAGACCCATAAGCGTGCTACAGCTGACCGTCGTCCGGAAGCAAGATGGGTAAGGCCCTTTTTTAGCATTTCCGAAACCTAACACGTTGATACATGTTTGACCTTTACGTGCACATTATTGGAACCTGTTGAGACATCTTTTCGGTTTGTGTCAGATTTGTGTGCCTCTACCTTGATTCGATATAAAATACTCTGGGTAGTCAGAGTGCGATATTTTTCAGAGATACATATCACATAGTCTCAGATGAGGATATATATTTTAATTAATTACAAAGCGCAATGTTTCTTGTCGCTCTTTTGTTTCATAAAAGTGCATCTTTTATCAGTACATCAAATACATTCGATACGGGTAAGATTTAAGACTTAAGATTTAAAATTTTTAAGATAAGAAGGAAAGGAAAAGGAAAAAAAAAAAAAAAAAAAAAAATCATGTCCGAGTCATATGACGTGGTATTGACTTCGGTGGGACGAATGTCTTCAGTATCAGTCTGTACCTCAATGGTATAATCTTATAGGCTGAAATATATCAAAGAAAAGGCTATGTATCTTTACTTGTTATAATTCAATTAGTAAGACAAGTTAACGCCCGTGATCATTGGAATTACTGTCTGATTCGGACACTGGGTTCACTTGCCTGACCTTCCACTTTCCAAATGAAGACTAATGTAGTTGACAAGAAAAAAATGTTTTACTGAATCTGGGAAATATACTTAAAAGCATCTTCACTTTCCATATGAAGTACAATGTATGGAATAAAAAAAGACAAAAAAAATGTTTTGCTGAATCTGATAAATACATTTGAAAGTATCTACGGGCATGCGGAGCGAATAGCGGCGTTTATAAACAATATAAGGTGCACAAGGGCATCCTTTCAGCATTTTCTTGGGGGGGGGGGGGTGGCAAGCGATGTGAGCACAATCAGTTCAAGGTGCGCTGAGAGTCCCTACGAGAAAAAGAATTGACATATTAGCTCTTCTAGGAGTATTTTAAAGCTATGACCAGACTACAAAGGGGTAATTTAGACAAAAAAGTAAAAAAAAAAGGGGGGGGCAGGCCAGACCTTGAGGGGGACAATCAGTCTTGGGGTAGCAGTCCCCCCCACCAGCCCCCCAAATAACGCCCCTGTGGTTAGATACTATTTTTTTCTAATTCATTTGAAGCTTCCAAAGTGTAATCAAAATCATACCATCATATTAAGTAATTTAATGGTTTTCTAGTGACTTTTCTTTTGAGACATTAAAAAAAATAACTTTTCCTTTTTTCAAACATTGTATGTCAGTACAAACTTCGATGTTTTGCAACGATCATGAGACAACATCAATGTACCAAAGTGTTAAGGGTTTCGGATGCTACAAAAAAGGCCTGTAGTTCTGTAGACAACCTAGTGTGAGTTCTCGGGAAGGGCTCACCTCCCGCTCACTCAGTCCCATGTGAAGTGGGGATATTACTTTGGAGTATGCGTACACACTCACATGTACACGCATAAATATACACTTGAGCACACACACACACACACACACACACACACACACACACACACACACACACCACACACACACACACACACACACACACACACACACACACACACACACACACACACACAACACACACACACACACAGCATACAACTGACCGTTTCTTCTGTAGTTCATGGGGGCGGTTACGAACCGTTTTAAGCTTTTGGAGTAGTTTCCCCGAGAGTGTGTGCGTGAGTTTTTTCGTAAGTTTTTCCCCTCAGTCTGTGGGCGAGTTCCAAGCAGCGTCTGTGGAGAGCAGCAGCCTTCGCGTTGGTTTAGCCGGAGGCCGTTGCACTCGTGTCCGTGTCACGTGTCTAACCTACTGCATATGTCGTCTTTTCTGTTACTGTTTCCTTCTTCTTTTGAAGTATAAACACGCAGATACACGCACTCTTGCACATGCACACGAACGCAAGCACATGAATACCTGTGGACGCACACTGCACACGAACGCATGCAGAAATACATGCGCGTACATGCACGAACACAAGGAAAATACGTCTACCGACCACCAACCTACTTTCCTCTCCTGTCACGGGCATGCCACGCTTTAGACTGTGACCTTCGCATGCTGTGCAGACTTACTCTCAACTTTCCTTCGGCATTATTACTGTTGCAAGTTATACCACCTCACTGTCCACACCTCAAATCCAGCAGTTTTCAAAAGGCAATGT